GAGGAGCTTACAGAAGGGAACAATATGTTCTCACTGAACTGGTAACGTATCTCAAACATTGCCTCTTTCCCTACTGGGGCAGTTTTATCGGTTCTTTGGAGACTCACCACTCCCCCCACCTCCAAAGTAAGGATTTATTCTTCTTTTCTGTTCTTTTTTTTCTTTTTTTTGAGACAGTCTTGCTGTCTCACCAGCCTGGAGTGCAGTGACACAATCTCAGCTCACTGCAACCTCTGCCTCCCAGGTTCAGGCTATCCTTCCACCTCAGTCTCCAGAGTACCTAGGACTACAGGCGTGCACCACCATGCTGGGCTAATTTTTGTATTTTTACTAGAAATGGGGTTTCACTGTATTGGCCAGACTGGTCTCGAACTCCTGGCCACAAGTGATCTGCACACCTCAGTTTCCCAAAGTGCTGGGGTTACAGGCATGAGCTACCACACCCAACCTAAACTAGGGACTTCTGATGGTGCCCTATTTTCTTAGTAAATGCATTATTTTGCTGACTGCTTACGTGGCCCTTCCTGGTCTGCCCTAGTCCATACTGCCACATTCTGCTACACTCTTTTTCAGAGTAGGGTTCTTCCAAGAGATTAAAAGAAGGCTACTCATGCCAACAGGGCATCCACACTCTTGGTTCAAAGCCCACTCTATAGCCTTTGCCAGCACGATGGTCCCATCAGCCTCTCACCTTCAGGGTTTTCCATATAAGTCAGGTTCTGGGCCTTCCACAGTCTGGGAGAAAGTATTCAAGCCCTACTAAGAACATTTCCATTATGCTCCAGTGGATACCATTTTGCCAGTGGTGGGTAGAGGGAATTCTTGACCAGGCAAGTTAGCTTACTCCTGTAATCTCGGCACTTTGGGAGGCTGAGGCAGGCAGATCACTTAAGGTCAGGAGTTTGAGACCAGCCTGGCCAACATGGTGAGACCCTGTCTCTACTTAAAAAAAAAAAAAAAAAAAAAAGCTGAGTGGGGTTGTTGGTGCCTGTAATCCCAGCTACTTGAAAGGCTGAGGCAGAAGAATCACCTGAACCCGAGAGGCAGAGGTCACAGTGAACAGAGATGGTGCCACTGTACTCCAGCCTGGTGACAGAACAAGACTGCCTCAAAAAAAGAAAAAAAGAAAAAGAAAAACACCTCATGAAAAACTGTACAGAATGTTAACCTATAGAGTTTTAATCTCTAGAGATATATATCTGAAATCCAAAAAAAAAAGGTTTCCAGAATACAGAATAGTTTATATATTTCTAATAAACTGACACATTCTACTAGCATAATAATTGGGTACATGGCATTCATTTCAGTAAATAAGGGCAATTGAGCATGTACTAATTTCCAGGTACTCCTTGATGTGGTAACACAGTAAGATTGCTAGGAATTGATAATAAAAGAACTTTTAGAATTCTGTAGCTGACATTTTCAATTTTCCCCATGAAAAAAATACATAGACCATTAATCTGGTGGTTTTGAATCCTAAGGTTGTTCAATGGTAGGACTGAAGCACGTTTCTAGAATGTGATATGACTAGATGACTTACATGATGCTTCCTGATCCTACCAGTGCTAAGGCCCGTTGACCCTTCTTTTTCTTTTATTTTCTTTTCTTTCTTTTTTTTTTTTTTTTTTTTTTTTGATAAGGTTTCACTGTGTCTCCTGGGCTGTAGTGCAGGGCTCAATCTCTGCCCACTGCAATCTCCGCCTCCGGCGTTCAAGTCATCCCCCAACCTCAGCCTCCCAAGTAGCTGGGACTGAAGGTGCAAATCAGCACCCCCTGGCTAATTTTTTTGTAGAGACAGGGTTTCACCATGTGTCCAGGCTGGTCATGACCTCCTGAGCTCAAAGGGATCCTCTTGCCTCGGCCTCCCAAAGTGCTGGATTTACAGATGTGAGCCACTGAGCCTGGCTAGTTGATATTTACTATTTCTTCATAGCCAATTCAACATAATAACATTTCTAGAGTAGGCACTAAGCCCCAAGCACTTGGCAAGGAGTGTTGCAATGAGATATCTCTTGCACTAAATATTTATTAACATTCACAGATTCATCCACAGTGAAAATGATCATGGCACCCCATTAATAATTTGCTTTATATGTTCCTAATCAAAGGGACTTTACCAGCTTGTTACTTTACCAGCTTGTCAGTGCTTGCCTTGCCCACAGCTTCCTTCTAAAGGTGTCCTTACACTTAGGTTGCCTCCTTTTTTTTTTTTAAATGAAGTCTCACTCCATCACCCAGCCTGGAGTGCAGTGGCACAATCTCAGCTCACTGCAACCCCCTCCTCCCTGGTTCAAGTAATTCTCTTGCCTTAGTCTCCCAAGTAGCTGGGATTATAGGCACCCACTACCATGTCTGGCTTATTTTCATATTTTTAGTAGAATAGGGTTTCACCATGTTGGCCAGGTTGGTCTCAAATTCCTAACCTCATGTATCTACCACCCACCTCAGACTCCCAAAGTGCTTGGGATTACAGGCATGAGCCACCACACCTGGCCCATAGGTTGCACTCTTGAGCCATGTAAGACTCCACCACTTAGCTCAACGCTGATTGAAACCAACAGCAGCACTTGAGTCTAGAGGAGGCACCTGTAAGCTGGACAGTGCCCTAGGTGATGGTTCAGTTTCAAGAATTAGAAAAGTCCATGGTCATTTTAATTACATTCTTCCCTAAGGATACCAACCAACTTCTTTTCTAAAGAATCAAAACCTGAACCATCTTTGAGCCTCAAAAGCTGAAAGGGGTATGTATGGAAGCAGGGAGTGAGAGGGGAACCCATAAGAGATGATCCCTGCCCACAACCATGCAGGGTGCAATACACCAAAAATAGATGTTCTCTAAGCCTGAGAACTTATTGTTAAGAGTAAAACACAAACTAACAAACAAGGCACTGTAGGAATCAAAAATGTGTCATCTGTTTTTTTTTTTTTTTTTTGACCCAACAATGCTATAGGAATGGATCCTAAGGAAATAACTGAACAAGTACAAAAAGATGTATGCATGGGGTCATCAGTAGCAGTGGAAGTCTTCATAAGAAAGAAAAAACCCAACCTAAATCAATAGGAGATTGTGTAAATAAATACATTTACATAGTGAACTAGCCACCTATGTATTATTACAGAAAAAAGTCCATGATAGATTTAGCCAAAATAATGTTTATATAATAGATCATATACAGTATGTGAGTGTACATATATATATATATATATATATATATATGTATGTATGTATATAAAGATAGAGAGAGAGAGAGAGAGAGAGAGTTTATAAGAATATAGGCCATAATGTTAATTAAAATGATTCAGCTTAAAGGAGAGATTTTGCTTTCTAATTTATGATTTTCTATGTGTCCAATCTTTTTTACTATGTTATAATACATTTATAATCAGAAAAAAAGATAATTTTAAAAACATGTAATGAGGCTGGATGTGGTAGCTCACACCTGTAATCTCAGCAGTTTGGGAGGATCTCTTGAGCTCAGGAGTTCAAGACCAGCCTGAGCAACATGGTGAAACCCTGACTCTACAAAAAATACAAAACTTAGCCTGGTATGGCGACTTACACCTGTAGTTCCAGATATATGGGGACCTAAGGTGGGAGGATCGCTTAAGCCCAAGGGGTTGAGGCTACCTTGAGCCACGTTGGCGCCACTGCACTCCTGCCTGGGTTACAAAGCAAGAACCTGCCTCAAAAACAAAGAAAAATATCAACAACAAACAAATAATGGGCCAGGCCCAAGGGTTCACACTTGTAATCCTTTGGGAGGAGGAAGAGGGAGGATGGCTTGAGCACCAGAGTTTGAAGTGGCAGTGAGCTCTGACTGTGCCACTGTACTCCAGCCTGGGTGACATAGGGAGACTCTATCTCTTAAAACAACAATAAACAAAACCAAACAAATAATGATGCCATAAAATTAAAGCCTTAAGCCGGGCGTGGTGGCTCACGCCTATAATCCCAGCACTTTGGGTGGCCAAGGTGGGTGGATCACCTGAGGTCAGGAGGTCGAGACCAGCCTGGCCAACATGGTGAAACCCCATCTCTATTAAAAATACAAAAATAAGCTGGGTGTGGTGGTGTGTGCCTATAATCCCAGCTACTCAGGAAGCTGAGGCAAGAGAATCACTTGAACCCAGCAGGCAGAGGTTGCAGTGAACCAGGATCACGCCATTGCACTCCAGCCTGGGCAATAAGAGTAAAACTCCCTCTCAAAAAAAAAAAAAAAAAATTAAAGCCCTAGTTTTCTCCTTTGTATATGTCTTTTGTGAAGAACCTGCAATGTACTAAATCAATGCATCCAATGGAAATGTAATATGAGTGACAGATGAAATTTTGTATATTCTAGTTCCTAATAATATATCTTACATAGCCCAATGTCTAAAAATTATGATTTCAACATATAATCAACATAATGCCACTGAAATATTTACATTCTTTTTTTCTAAGTATTTGAAATGTGTATTTACATAGCACATTTCAATTTAGACTATCTTTCAAGAGGTCAATAACCACACTTGGCTACTGTATGGGACAGTGTAGTTTTTTGTTTTTGTGGGGTTTTGTTTGTTTTTTGAGACAGAGTTTTGCTTTCGTTGCCCAGGTTGAAGTACAATGGCGCAATCTCAGCTGGGATTACAGACATGCACCACCACGCCCTGCTAATTTTGTATTTTCAGTAGAGATGGAGGTTCCTCCATGTTGGTCAGGCTGGTCTTGAACTCCCGACCTCAGGTAAGCCACCCGCCTGGGACTTCCAAAGTGCTGGGATTATAGGCATGAGCCACTTCGCCCAGCAGTAGTTGTTATTTTTAAGGAGAATAATTTTTAAACTTTAGGTTCTTAATTTCTGAAGTTGTTTGATTCTGCTTAAGTGATTGCTTATTGATAGTGTTTTGGTAATCTTTGGAAGATTGTTGCTAGGCTTTTGGTTTGTTGCATTTTTAAAGAAAGTGCTGTTGTAATAAATGCTTTTTCCTGAACAAACACATCTTGGGTGAACTCTTACCTCACTCCTTATCTCTCCTTTCCTTCTCAGTTGTTGACAGGCGGGGTCAAAAGCCAGAATCTCTAGTAGATACATTTGTTGTCAGTCCCTGTAAGGAGGAGTGGCAACGGACAGCAATAAAAGGTCACATTTATCAGAGGTCCCTTACTGCAACACTAGAGAATGACTGCAATTATTATCAGGGTCTCCTGAACAATCAAAATAACATATATCAAAGGTCTGACTCATTCTAATTCTAAGGAGTTATTCCCCCACCACCCCCCCTTTTTTTTTTAAAGTATTTTACCAAGAGTAGCACCACCAAGGGGCTATTTCTGTTTTCTGACCATTAACAAGATGGATAGGCTACAATACAGACCACAGAGCACAGTGGATTCAGGTGGGCCTGGGCTTGGGTGTCTCTGGGCTTCCATATCCTCAACTATAGAGCAGAGATTATAATATGCAACCAATTTCAAAAGATTCACTTTTAAATAACTTTGTATCAAGTATATAATACATAGAGAAAAGTGTACACATCCTAAGTGTAAAATACAAACTTCACAAATTACATATACGCATGTGACCATCACTTAGATTAAGAAACAGAACACTCTCAATGCCCAGTAGCCTCCTTCTCGTCCCTACCCTCTGTGTTAGGTTTCTACTGCTATGTATCCCGCTACTACAAGTTGAGTAGCTTAAAACAACACAGATTTATTATCTCAGTTTCCATGGGTCAGGAGTGCAGGCACAGCTTAGATATATCTCAGGCCTCATGAGTTAGCAATCAAGATGTCAGCCAAGGCTTGGGTTCTCATTCAGGACTTGAGCTCGTTGGAATCGCTGGCAGAATCAGCTCCTGATGGCTGTATAACATGGGTCCAGCTCCCTCCCTTGCTAGCTGTTGGCAAGAGCCCACTCTCAGCTCCTGCAGGCTGCCCAGTTCCTTGCCATGTGGTTCCTGCCCCATAGACAGCTCACAACAGTGGCTCCCTTCCAAGCTAGAAGCAGCTTGTCATTCTGACTTCTGTCTCTTACCTCTGACTGCTCATTGTAGGAGCTTGCCTGATTAGGACAGGCCGACCCATGATACTCTCCTGGGTGATTAGGGACCTTAATAACAGGAGTGATAGTCCACCAAGTCACAGGTCACACCTATACTTGAGGAACACGGATTATACGAAGGAGCAACCTTAGGGGGCAGATATCATGTCCCCACCCTAGAATTCTGCCTGTCTCACCATCCCCTAAGACTAACCACTATCCAATGTCTAATACAGTATTTTTCCCTGTCTTCAAACTTTATAAAAAATTGAATATTTGTGAAATATACTCATCCTTTGTATGTAATTATAGATAATTCATGTGCATTGCTTCACAGTGTTCCACTGTATGACTATACCACCATACCATAATTTATTTACTTTTTTTTTTTTTTTGAGATGGAGTCTCACTCTGTCACCCATGCTAGAGTGCTGTGGCGTAATCTCGGCTCACTGCAACCTTCCGTCCCTGGTCCAAGTGATTCCCCTGCCTCAGCCTCCAAAGTAGCTGGGATTACGGGGGCATGCCACCAGGTCTATTTTTTTTTTTTTTTTTTTTTTTGTATTTTTAGTAGAGATGGGGTTTCATCATGTTAGCCAGGATCTCGATGCCCTGACCTCATGATGCACCCACCTCGGCCTCCCAAGGTGCTGAGATTAGAGGCATGAGCCACCTTGTCCAGCCCCTATTTATCCTTTTAAAGGTTGATAATTGAAACAATAATTATAACAGGATGTATAGATTTTCTTTTTGAGATGGAGTTTTACTCTTGTTGCATATGTTGGAGTGCAATAGCACTATCTCAGCTCACTGCAACCTCCACCTCCCAGGTTCAAGCAATTCTTCTGCTTCAGCCTCCCAAGTAGCTGGAATTACAGGCATGTGCCACCACACCCGGCTAATTTTTGTATTTTTATCAGAGACAGGGTTTCACCACGTTGGCCAGGCTGGTTTCAAACTCCTAACCTCAGGTGATCCACCCACCTCGGCCTCCTAAAGTGCTCGGATTACAGGCGCCACCATGCCTGGCTGATGTATCAATGTTTTAAAAATGAGTAGCAAAGACAAGGAAATAACCACCTCTCAATTAGGAGTTGCAGAATAAAAATCATCTTAAGCATACACAAAGAATTTGAGACACCAGAGTTTCACATATTGCCTTAGAGAAAAAGGTGATGTTTTGTAAGTTTTTAGTTTTTTTTTTTTGTTGTTGTTGTTTCTTTTTTTGAGATAGAGCCTCGCTTTGTCACCCAGGCTGGAGTGCAATGGCATGATCTCGACTCACCATAACCACCACTTCCTGGGTTCAAGCAATTCTTCCTGTCTCAGTGTCCCAAGTAGCCAGGATTACAGGTACCTGCCACTATGCCTGGCTATTTTTTTTTTTTTTTTTTTTTTTGATAGAGACAGGGTTTTTACCATGTTGGTTAGGCTGGTCTCAAACTCCTGACCTCAGGTGGTCCACCCTCGTCAGCCTCCCTAAGTGCATGGATTACAGGCATGAGCCACCGCACCCAGCCAAGTTTTTAGTTTTCTAATGTGTAACAAGTTACCAGAAACTTAATGGCTTAAAACAACATTCACTTATTTTTGTTTTGTTTTGTTTTTTTGAGATAGAGTCCTCCTCTGTTGCCCAGGCTGGAGTGGAGTGGCATGATCTGGACTCACTGCAACCTCCACCTCCTGGGCTCAAATGATCATCCCACCTCAGCGTCCTGAGTGGCTGGGACTACAGGTGGGCCAGAAAATATTTTTAAAAATTTTTTGTAGAGATATGGTCTCATTATGTTATCCAGGCTGGGCCTAAATTCCTAGGCTCAAGTGATCCTCCTGCCTCAGCCTTCCAAAGTGCTAGGATTACATGTGTAAGCCAGTGTACCTGAGGGTAATATTACACCGGGCTAACAATTTAAAAATTTTTTGTAGAGACAAGGTCTCATTATGTTGTCCAAGCTGGTCTCAAACTCCTTGGCTCAAGCTATCCTCCCACCTCGGCCTCCCAAAGTGCTGGGATTACAGGTGTGAGCCACTGTACCCAGCCAACATTCACTCATCATCTCAGTTTTTGCAGCTCTGAAGTCTGGGCATGGCTTATCTGGATTCTTTGTTCAGGGTTCTCATAAGGCTGAATTCAAGGGGTCAGCCAGGCTGCATCCTCATGTGGAGCTTGGGGTCTTCTTCCAAGCTTATACAGATGCTTTCAGAATTTGATTCCTTGTATTCCTAAGACTGAGGTTCCCACTTCTTTGCTGCCTGTCAGCCAATGTCTGTTCTCAGCTGCTAAAGGGCCCCATAGTTCCTTACTGTGTGGTCCTCTCTATAGGCGGTTGGCATCACCACTTCAGAAGAGCAGTGAAATCCCTCTATGTGAAGTTACTGGCTCTTTCGAAAGGGATCCTGCCTGATGAATTTAGGCCCACTCAGAACAGTGCTGCTATGAACATTCTAAAACATGTCTTTTGGTGAACACATGTATGCATTTCTGCTCAGTAAATACAGAAGAGTAGAACTGCTGGGTCATAGGGTTTGCATACGCTCAGCTTGGAAGGTATTGTTAAACAGTTTTCCAAAGTGGCATTACCAAGCTGCATACCCATTAGCAGCGTTAAAGAAGCCCACAAGACTGTTTGGATGGTTTAAAGATAATATCATGATAAAGAACTTAGGACAGAACCTGGGATATAGTAATAACTAAATAAAAGTATTTTCAATAGAAATGCTGACTGGTATTTTCTCCTACTCTGTTAAGTCTACGGGGTGTGAATGCCCAGCTTATTCATATATCCCTAGTGGGTCACCGAAATTTGTTAAACAGCCAAAGGAGGCCAGGCACGGTGGCTCACGCCTATAATTCCAGCACTTTGGGAGGCCAAGGCGGGTGAATCACAAGGTTAGGAGTTTGAGACCAGCCTGGCCAAGACAGTGAAACCCCATCTCTACTAAAAATACAAAAATTAGCTGGGGGTGGTGGAAGATGCCTGTAATCCCAGCAACTCAGGAGGCTGAGGCAGGAGAATTGCTTGAACCCAGGAGGCGAAGGTTACAGTGAGTCCAGATCAAGACTTGCATTCCAGCCTGGGCAACAGAGCAAGACTCCATCTCAAAATACATATGTATCCAAGGAACACGTCAATGTTGAGCAGCCTGTTGTCCAAAAACAGACTCTTCAGACTTGCATTTACTTTCCTTTTCCTCAGCCCTTGCAACAAGGCACACAATAAGGGGATACTGAAGGATCTCCAGTATTAATACCTGAAATTAGTCTGCCTGGGCCTCACTGAGTAGGTGGTTTCTTTGAGCCCAGGAGCAAGAGGCTATTAGGCTATACCATCTAGCCTCTGTGTGTAGCAGGCTGTACAATCTAGGTTTGTGTAGGTACTCTCTCTGATGTTTGAACAATGAGGAAATACTCAAACCCATTTCTCGGAAGGTATCCTCATTGTAAAGCAATGCTTGATTTTATTTATATAGCATTTACATTGGATAGGTATTATAAGTAATATAAAGATAATTTAAAGTACACAGGAGGATGTAGCTGGGCATGTGGCTTATGCCTGTAATCCCAACACTTTGCAGGGGCTGAGGCAAGAGGATTGCTCAAGCCCAGGCATTCATGCCCAGCCTGAGCAACACAGTAAAACTCCATCTCAGTAAAAAAGAAAAGAAAAAGTATGCAGGTGGATGTGCATAAGTTATATAAAAACAATACTATATTTAATTAAAGGGACTGAGCGTCCTTGCATTTTATTATCCACCAGTGTCCTAGAATCAATTCCCCATGAATACCAAAAGATGACTGGACCTTGCTTTGAAACCTCATCTAGGGAAAGATTCTGTGTCCTTTTGCAGGGAATTACATGAAACTCAGGCCACATAGCAGCATTGAAATGTTAATCTTCTGTGCTTGGGTATTTTTTTAATCCAAGGGCTCAGACATGTGAATCGATTCTTACTAATTGTTTAATAGCCATTATTCCTAATAGAGGCAATGGGTCACAAGTTTCAGTTGCTTGATTCAAAGTCTTTGAAGACCAAGTCAAATCAAGAGGAGTAGTAGTCAGG